TGGTTGGGAGGGGGGGGGAAATGCGACTGTATCATGATTGTTTTAACACACTATATCATTATTATTAATATTATTACTTTCAATATTAGTGCTACAGCTATTTTCTTTTAACAGTTCATAAAGAGAGATAGCATTTAGTGAATGAGAGGGCAATAGAGAAAAATCCAAAGACTCTGTGTGTTTGTTTCTCTGTTTTGTTTTGTTTTCTACTGGGCTTATGTGTCCATGTAAAGTGAATGAGGTGTGCCTGAGTCCATATTAATGGTTTGAATGAGTGTATCAACAGTGCTGTCTTTTTTTCTGTACAGTGAAACACCTGTATCCTCTCTCTACCTCTTTTACAATAAAGACTCTCTGTATTCACAAGCAGCTGGAGATCGGTCACATTCATGGGGTCATAATGAATAAACTAAAAGACTAGGGGACAGTATAATGGGCTACTTTATTCAAGACACCAACAGTAACTGATTCATTAGCAGCACTCTCTCACACACACACACACACACACACATTATACTACCACATATATATATATATATATATATATATATATATATATATATATATATATATAGATATATATATAGTGATATAGATATATATATATATATATATATATATTGTATATAGTATATATATATATTGTATATATATATATATAGATATATATATAGATATATATATATATATATGATATATATATAGTATATATATATATATAGATATATATATATATATATATGATTATATATGTATATGATATATTATATTGTATATATGATATGTGTATATGTATATGTATATTTATATGTATATGTTATGTATATGTGTATATATATATGTGATATATATATGTGTTATTATATGTGTATTTATTTTTATATTTTTTTTTATTTTTACTATAATTATGTGTATAAAAGGATAATATTGCTATAGTTTATATAAGGAAATTATATATATGTGAAATATAATATTAGATTATTAATTTCTGATATAAGTATATTGTTCTAACAGAAGTAATGTTGCAATATATAATAATAGGTAAGATTATGCATATCTAAAATAACATGTATATGTGTTTTCTATAGTATATGTTTATTTTTTTTGTTGGGTATTTGATAAGTTATATGTGTATTTATATATGTAGGTTATGTATAAATGTGTGTATTGTATACATATGTATGTATCTTATAAGTATGTATACATATATGTAAGTATGTATGTATGTGTATTATATATATATGAAAAGTTTTAGCAAAAATATGTCCTTAAAGTAGTTACAGTAGTACTCTGAATCACATATGCAGAATCATATTTATTATATTATTATTATTATAATAGATAATAACGATAGGCATGCATCTGTATATTTCTTACAGCAGCTAGTGATTTTAATTACTTATTAATATTTGATGATGTTATTAATATTTTAAAATCTTCAAAATAATAAGTAAAGTTTTAAAATAATTGGGTTGGAGAGCATAAATATTAAATTCCCATCCAAATTATAGCAGCAGTAGAAAATAGAAATCATATAAATACTTAAAGACTGTACTTTAGTAAAGTACTTGTGTAAATGTAAAAGTAAGATTGAGTGTATTCAAGTCCAAAAAACTAAAATTCACTATCTTTTAAATGTAGATGCAAAATAAAATAAATAAGCACATGGTAATAGACCTCCTCCAGAGTGAAGAGAAAAAAACCTTAGAATTTAGAGTTTTCGGATTATGCCAACATATCTCATTATCTGAAATTTTAGTCGTGTTTAATGTGAATTTCAACCACTCTGGTACACTCTCTCGTTCTCTGGTCTCAGGAGCTTGCAAAGATCGGACAGGACTTCTGTAAGTTTTTTTGAAGACGTTCCACCTGTCATCAGAGAGGACATCTTTTAAGTTTCTTTGCTTTCTTTCCAACCTCCTTAGACAGCCATGACCTGGATGACTGAGAACCTACACAGACATATCTTGCTCTTTCTTTCTTTCTTTCTCTCTCTCTCTCTCTCTCCATCTCTGTCTCTGTCTGTCTGTCTCTCTGTCTGTCTCTCTCTCTCACACACACACACACACACACAAATACACACAGTAAATGCAAAAATAATATATAGCAATAATCAATAGCATCAATAGCTTCTGATCAGCACCATGGACAGCAACTGCAGCCAGAATCTGGGGGAACGGAAGCTTTTACTTAAACTTATACTATACACTGACATCATCTTCTTCAACCAGGCTCAGTGAGGAGGCATCTTACCAAACAAGCATAGCCTACTCATGATCATCATCATCAGTTATTTCCAGTGGACCAGCTTCTAGATACTTCACACACACATATTACAGTACGAGTCCATACTTTCAACATATACATGAGTAAAAATGTTTCAGTCCTTTACTAAAAACAAACCACTCACCTGTTCATTTTAAGGCCTTGTGCTCAGCAAAGTCACTGACAACACTGCTTAATTCCCAAGTCCTCGGGGAATACTTGTTTTTTGTTGCTGTTGTTGTTGTTGTTTTGCTTTGGTCAAACATAAATGAAAACAACTCTGCTGGATACTTTTCAAAAAAGAAATGGTTGCATAGTTGATATCAACAAGTTACAAAATATTACCACCACAATATACAGACAGCAAGATCAGGGAACACATGTAATATGTTCCCCAGCATGTCTCCCACCATTAAAACACAACTTAATCAGTGGAGTGGAAAATAATTGAATCTGCAGCTAAAATTTAATTTGTAAGCTATATGCCGTACTGCATAAATATATGCTATACTCAAAGTTGGACTTTGAGTCTCAAGATAGAACATGACTTAAACATATAGTTGTTATAACCTTTCCACTTCAGCGTAATGATGTGAATAGAAGTGTCATGTTACTATCAAGAATGCCATTGGATAGTTATATAGAGAGGGTCCTTTTTACTGAGCCCTACAGGCCATGTGCTCACTGCCTCATCCAGGGTAATATCTTTGCTTATTGTCCAAGTTTGAAGTGCTTTTAAAATATGTTTTACTGTATATAAAGCTTTCTCATTTTGAATTTATTGAAAGAAAAATAATAAAACTTTTGCAAAGGAATCAATACCACATGGACAGACCAAAAGGTAAAATTATAACAGCTCCTTTATACCCTTTGTGCGGATACAGTCTTTGTCTATTCACATGTAGGAAATTCTCACCATCATGTAAGCAACAGCCTGATAATGAAGTGGGTGTTGACCTTGAATTACACTTAGTTGCTTCCCATCTTTGCTCAGTCCTTTGTACAACAAAGTCAGAATTACATATCAGCAGTACACAGAGGTTAGATGAACTGAAGCATTAACATTGCAGTCACTGATTAAGAGCCATTTTTGTATCCAAATGTGCTGAGTAAACCCAGCTTCAATTTTGAGTGTTTTTATACTTTGCTTAAAAATGAAACAGGAAACATTAAATTATATTTTTTTTTACAGTAAAAAATAAAAATAAAAAAATAAAATACTCTTCCTTTGAACTGTCTAAGTAATCAAAAAACGAATCTGAGACTGTGTGCCATCACGTGGGGTGTGGAGTTCAATCCGGAATCATAATTAAAATTTCGCATGTAAATTGTGGTCTAATATAATTAAAGAATGATAATGAATCCATATGTGGGACCTCTGGGGCTCCATGTTCTCCAGCCTGGGAACCACTGCCTCACACGTTAAATTAAAAGGGTGTCACGTGGGGTGTGTTCCCTGCTTTCCCACGGTCACTTTCCAAGATCAAAGGATTTGCACAAGTAAAGGTCGAACAACTGCGGGGTTAAACGGCGCGTCAGCACGAGACAGGGGCCCAAATGGCACGCGTGGTCCATTGTGACACGGAGGTGTCAATGCAAAAATTTAGGCTTCTTGCACGCTCCCCCTGCGGGGGTGACTAACAAATGCAAAAGTGTGAAGTGTGAATAAGGAGGTGTCGGTATTCGCTCTAAGGAACAAGTTTGAATAAGATTATATATTAAAGCACATGCAAATGGTTTTCCGAAATCTCTACCAAAACAATTTAATATTTCCCCCAACTTTTAATGGGAAGCAACGATGGCGCACGATTTAGCGTTTAAGTAAACGTGGGATAAAATGCAGTTTAACAACAATCAACCCCCAATCTACTGCGAATAGCGAATATCATATTATTCGTTTTACACACGTCAATGCCTTCTCGTGAACTGTTTTAATCATAAAATAAGAAACATTTAGTCCAGTTTAGACAATCTCAGGATTAACAGGACTATTGTCCTAACTTGCTTTTAGTTGATTTCTGTTTTTATGTTTTAGCTTTTCTGTGAAGCACTTTGTGATTTTTGTCTTGAAAGGTGCTATATAAATAAAATTTTACCTTACCTTTTTACCTTATTTAGAATTTCATTCACTGCGTAACCAGCTCAACGGGTACAGAGACGGCAAGGAGAAGTCAAGTTCCTTTAAATAAATCAGATTCTGTGTTGACAATACACGAGACTTCATAGAATATAAGACCCCAAATCTTACTGAAATATAATGGGATTAAAGCGCAGAGACATGACCAGAAACTCCCGTGGTAGCGTTATAGGAAATGCATATGTTTCCAACACTCAAAATCTGGTTTTGTCACTGGGGGTAAAGGAGCTGTTGTGAAGCATTTCATTCAATGTTTGTCACCTATAGTGTGTACAAAAATGAGTTACAAATGTCATTCTTTTTATTTAAATTATTTTTATTGGTTATTTTTACGTGTGAGTTTTTATGCATACACGTAAAATTTCTGCGCAATGGGGAAGGTCTCCGTGTTTGGTGAATATGAGACTGTGATAGGAGATTTAAATTAATTAAATCTTGGTTGGGTTTTAAGGAACGACGAGGTTGAGATACCAGGAGGAGGGGTTTGGAGGAGGAGGAGTCTTTTAGCTACAGGGAGTCAGTAAAAAGAAGTCGAACAAGAGCCTCATTACCTGATCGGTGTCAGCCTGAGAAAGAAGGTGTTAGAGCATCTGCAACCATGAAGCTGCTACAGGAAGCCGAGGAAGCAACAAACAATAAAAAGGTAAAAAAAGAAAAAAACAACTTTGATTTTTTTTTATTCACATGGGCAAATGCAGCCACTTTGACAAAGATTCTAATGAGGATTTAGTCGTTTGTTTCAATCAAATTGGAATTTAGACGCAGCTGCGATTATATTTCGTTTGTTTCTCGGGTAACGTCTGATCAACTTTGCATCACTTGTAACACAGAAATTAAAACAAAACAAAAAAAACACTTTTAGACTTTTCTTTTCCTTTTGCGATAGTTAATAAAATCTCAGGTGGAGAAACGTCGAAGGGACAGAATGAACCGCAGTTTGGAGTGTCTGAGGACCATGTTGCTGCAGGAGCCACACGAAGTAAGATCATATTTTAGTTCTCTTTGAATATGGTTCATGAATTTCAGTACTGTTTATTTATTAATGTTTTCTTTTTTTTTTATGTAATGTAAAGATCAGTTAACTTGCTGCTCTCATGCAGGGGTCCACTCAACACCGAGTGGAGAAAGCTGAGATACTGGAGCACACAGTCCTCTTCCTCCAGAACAATGCCAAAGGAGACAAGACTACAGGTGGACGTGGGGACCAGAAACGCTCCTTCCAGGACGGTTTCTCCACTTGCCTGCAGACAGCTTCGGGGTTTCTGGGCCCCGAGGGGAAAGGGTCGGAGCTCGGATCGGCGCTGCATGCAGCTTTTGCCGCTCGTTTGGCCCGTTCACACTCACAGCCCGAAGGTCTCCAAAGCAGAAACTTTTTGCCGCACGCAAAGTTTATTCTGCGGATGCTGAGGCAGAAGTCCAAGCTCAAACTCAAACAAGCTCAAGCACGTGCCTCAGGGGAGAAACGTTTGATCCGACCTTACCCACTCCCACTCCAACAAAGGTTTCCCAGAGTCCCCAAACAGCCTCAGAAACAAAGAGAGTCCGAGATCAGAGCAGAGAGAGGAGCGACCAAACAGAGCTCAGCCCAGAGCTCCCCCTCCAGCCACACTTTGTGGAGACCTTGGCCCTGATCACCAGGCAGGGACTTCAGAGCTATCAATGACTATAAACTATTTAACATAAACACTCAAAAATATTTAACAATGATTGTTGGTATCTATTTTTTGTAACTGAAAAGGATAGGTGTTGTAGTCTTATAAAGACGCAGAACCTCAGATCCTGTAAATAATGTAGCTAAATGTATGTTTTCTACCTGCGCTGTATGTGTGATAGGGTTAACTCACTGTTTTAAATACTTTTCAATAAGCTCTGTCAGTGGGGCATCTATTTAATCTGCTTACACAGGGACTCTACCGCGGGACACAGGTGAGCTGGATCAGCCCAGCAGTCCGGCTGGGATTGCTGCGCTGAAGAGCGAGTGAAGAGGTGAGTTTCACGAAACTCAAGAGCTTCTATTCTCTTTTATGAACTGCTGTGACTGAGTGTCCATACATCACATTTCCAGGTGTGGAAGCCCAGTGTTTGAGGCTGGGAGACCCACGCAGCTCCTCATATTCACCTCTCTGCTGGCAAGAGCGACATCTGTATCTCTGTGTAGGCTACAACATCACTTGTATTCAATCTGACGTTAAATCTTGTCTTTTTTGCACAATAATTTATTCTGGATTCTCCCTATGGTGAGCTGTACTCTTTAAAATAAAAAGAAAAAAAAAAAAAAAAAACTACAACAACACGTGGTGTGGTTATTTTAAGATTAAAAGAAATCCGGAAGACTCTAGTCTGCGGTTGCTCTGACAGCTCCCTTTAGTCCGGATCAGAGGTGTGAAGCTCGACCTCCTGCAGAGTTACATCCTCCAGGTGTGAAATCTGAGCATGAAGCTCTGCAGCATCTCTCACTTCAAAGACCTCACAGAGAGCCTTCTGTATTCACTGAAAAATAAGATAAGATAAGACTTTACTGATCCCACAACGGGGAAATGTTTGCGTCACCTCACCTCAGCTCAGGTACAGATATCAGATAAAATGTTTATATAACTAGGAAGACTTAAGAAATCACGTATCATGTATTTTTCCCCTCATATTCATCATTTATATTCTTTTGTTGTTGTTTAGTTTACATTTTTCTCTACAATATTTTCTCCTATTATTAACCTGTAATTACACTGATGTTAGACTGGACCTCTTTGAGCTAATACCACTGAATTAGTTCACATTCTTTTCCCAACTAGAGGAGCATCGCATCTTTGTCTTTATTCCTTATTTGAACAATCTGTCACGATAGCTTATCAGTGTATATGACAGGATGGAGCCGAACATCTGACACTGCTTATGGCTCTCGTCCGCGTTTGTTTCTCTAGTGATTAGCGTCTATCCCATCACCAGCACCACCCTCAGCTGCTTAGAGGCCACTTGTTTTCTACGCGTGTCTGGTGTCATGTCCCAGGAAGCAAAACGCGTCTTAACACCTCATGTAACCCTTTGAGTTTCAGGCACAGAGGAAGCTTATCCTTTATTTGCCACAGTTTTCTGGTGAGAAATTTGTCTGACTAAGCTTGTTCTTTTAGTCTTTTTTCAGTGAGATAACCAAAAACAAACCAACATAGTAGTAGACTGTCTACACATGAAGTGTATTTGCTCATTCGCCAAAAGAATCTTTGTACTAACACACTAAATATCTATTTAGGGTTGCTTAGATATTACTGTCCAATGAGCTCAATGAGACAGATTTCTGTGCCTTTTTTGTAGGAAAACACGAGGGAAGCGGCTCTTTACAATGTCATTAGAGACTTTGAAGCTCTCAAGCTTCACTTAATCAGGCGGGCTTGCCTTATTACAACATACAATTACTGTGACCTTGGAGTTTAGTGCAGTATCTTCAACTTCTGGTGGCCTGAGACCTTATGTGATCCAAGCCCTTAGGTGTGCTCAATTTACAAGGATTTAAAAGATTCATATTGTCTGACTCGGGAATAGGAACTAAACTGGTTTGATTTCAGTTTTAAAACAGAATAAGTTGTGTTGATTAAGTTTCTGCCAAAGCAAAACAACTGTGTGCAACTAAGGTCCACTATTGAATTAAGTAAATCCAACATGCTCTTTTTTCAGTGTACTTGTTTGATAAAGTACACTTGATGAATTTTTATCTCGTGTATTTAAGAAGTTACGGGGACTGAATGTTAAAAAAAAACAAACTAAAATAAAGAGTGCAGAACTTCGCACACAGCATACAACTCGAAAAAAAATTAGTATGAATTATGTGGATGAAAATCGATGGATGGGTTGTTGTGCATTTCTGAGTTGGTCGGGTGACTGATCTTAATAGAAAAGTATTAATTATTATAATTATTATTATAATAAAAAAAAATGTCATGCAGACAGAAGTTGGATACGTGTCATAGTGGGAAACGTTTTGTAGTCGTGGGAATGTGGAGCAGAAAGCTCAGTCGTTGTTTTATTACCTGTTAAAATTGATGCTTCATTGTGTCCTTGGAGGAGAGGTGGCTCTCGGGTTCCCACGCACAGCACATGCTGGAGGTTCTCACGCGAGCCGAAAGTTATTTTTTGTTTTTGTTTCTTTTAAAATTTTCTTTTGTTTTGTTCGTGTGACTCAACAATTTGAACAGTTACGCGTAAAAAAATTTATTTTACTTGGATCATAGATTTCTGTCAAGAATACTTTGTATTTCTGTATAGTTTTTTATATTTATATCCTGTTCATAGCCTGTACATCGCTTGTACTCACCACAGCATGTACATACTTATAGTTATAGCATATTCATAACATACGTTATAACATACCATAATAGACCCATTTCTGTAATATACTCACATATCTATATTATTGCTAATATATATTGTAATATATCTATATCATGGCTAAAGCACTTCTGGGTGGATGCAAACTGCATTTTGTTGCCTTGTACCTGTGACATGTGCAATGACAATAAAGTTCTATTCTATTCTATTCTATTCTATTCTATTCTATTCTATTCTATTCTAACAATCTAATATAATTTCTCAAAAATCCAGACTGAAAACTTGAATTAAAATTGAATTCCTTGCAAGTTATATAAGATCAGAAAATGCGTAAGCTCAAGCTCAGCTCTTCTGTTGCATGTGATCACCTCACCTAACTTTCTCGTGGGAATCGGGCGGAAGAATGTCACACTTTATTACCTGTTAAAATCGATACGTCGTAATTAAGAGTAGCTGGAAGAAGAGGTGGAAATCAGTTTCCCATGAGCAGGGCTCCTAAAAATTATGCATTCACAGCTGGATTGATACACAGACTTCTGACCACGTTTTTTTTAAGGCTTTCAAGGCTGAGGAAAACGGCTGCCAATATTCTGTACCGAGGGAATGATTATTAAAATGTGAAGAGTTGTGAATAAAAAGAAAAAAGTCAGACAACTACTGAAAGCTTTTCTCCTTGAATGAGTTTTTGTATTTCGCGTTTTGCGGGGCTCCATAAACATTTTCTTCCTAGCAGCGCTGAACCGAGAACCTGTCGCCTGAGGACACATCTCATTTCTCCTTCCATAATGATCACCTGGAAGTTTACAGTCATTTGTCTGATCTCACACTGTTTGGGCGGATGTTGGTCACACATGTAAATAACCCTCACACGAGCTGATAACACCTTTCACAGGCGCGTGCAGCTCTCATTTATCGCAGCAGCTGCACGCGCCGGTGGATTAATGATGGGCTCCCACAGCGGCGCCTTTCAGTCTGTATTCATCTTTAGATTCTTGGTGAAATCCCCTCGTAACCGGTAAAGATGATCCTGGAGTATAGAATGACTCAAATGCATTGATTACACATACCTATCATATCCCATATCAGTGACCAGCAGTGGTGAAAGTGGAAACAAACCTATAAGTTGTGTTGTGATCAGTATTTATCCTGTCACCAAACAAACAAAACAAAAATCTGAAATGTGTAATTAGTCCTGTCTGTTGTAATTTATGGCCCCTGACTGATCCCCAAAATGACATTATATTATTTGATGCTCATAAAAAACACAAAGTTGTGTCTTATTGTGCTGAAGTTTGCTAACTTGATTTTATTTACTGGTCTCATCTGTTACTTACTTTAGCTCACAAAGGCAGTGTTAGCCTGCAGTTTAGCTAACCTGTGGTCTACTGACTGCACTATTTAAGCTGCCTTTGGTTATTGTGATCCTGAGTTAAATGCAAATCGAGTAACTCTTTGACGTGTTTGTTGTTTTTATAATTATATTTCATATTTATTTGATGATATTTCCTTTTTACTTACATTGAACTGTCAAAAAACTAAACAACCATTCTTTCACATAGTGGGAAATAAGCTCAGTGGTCATGGGATTAATATACTTGCTTCACGTGTTGTTAATGTGATATCATTCTCTCAAAAATTCAAAACCAAAATAAAGATTGGGGGTGTTTATTGCAGATTGTAAAACATGTTGATCTTTTTATAGTAAGCAGGCAATGTTGCTCCCTGTTATGTTTAGAAACTACTGGCTGAAACTGGAGTCCTGGAATCCCAGTAATGTGCCAAGTTGCGCGTAAAAAGTTAATTTTATGCACGTCTCATGCACGAGACTCGGACCTTTAAAACACCAACTTCGTCAAATAATAAATTCCTCTAGTTTTGGTGACAAAACGTCCACTCTGAGTCAAAAGTCCTGATGGACTGTGTCCATCATGCTGATAGAAGCTTTAAACATTTGGCGTATAATATTGCTGTAGCGAAATATTAACATGTGATAATCCTTTATGACTACGCCGCATGATACAATCTGTACATTAATATATGTGATTTTCTATATATGATACAGTGATTTTTAAAGACAACACCCATATTTTTGTGCATCAACTGAAGCACTAACTGAGAAACAAGCAGCTTCAGTGTAAAGACAATAAAAAATGAAGACTGTTGCCATGGTAGCAGGAATGTTACCGTAACACAGAAGCTAAAACTCAACTGTGACATCACCTTGACGTCATGGCTGTTCCTTTGATCTTTTTTTTTATCTGTCAGTTGATTTGATCTGTTTCCCTTAAATAGAAGTTATCCCCCTTACACGCAGCACCTTGACAATACGTCGGACAAACCTCTGTTTTGCAG